CAAAGTGTTCGTGTAATCGTCGAGTTCACTAATAATTGCGTATCTGATCGAATCGTTTCATTAACTGGAGGACCAAAAGAGTTCTTTGGTGAATGTCTATTTCTTGAATATTCACCACACAATGCACGTTAATCGTATCGTACGACGCCGTCGCCGTTGCGCCGGCGGAGCCGCGTCGCCGTCGTCGTCGCGTCGCGAACTGCCGAGCCGGCCGGCGGCGGCCGGCCCGGCGCGTCGGGCCGGTCATCGCACACATGTGCCCCAGATGACCACGCGGGCCCCAGTACACCACGTGGGCGGCGAGGCTCGGCTGAGCCCGCCGATCGCTGCCGTCTCCTCCACGGCACAGTACGTTTTCTCTCGAACATTTACCAAAAATACAGTCAAAGAACTTCACGAAAAGTAAATTCAGCTTGCCTAAAACGCAATGTTTTTAGATGACCTAGGTTGTACAGACACACAAACCCACAGACATACAAACACATATCAGTGACCTTGACCTAACTTGACCTGAAATGGCCTCAGCCAGCCAAAACCTAGTCGGATAGTGTAACAAAGAGGTTCTTGCTGGCTTGGCACCACAATACGTCAGCGTCATCGGTATATGATAAGCAGCGCACTTGATATCCAACGGTGACCCCAAACAGCAACATTTTTTGTTTGACCTGACCTGGAAGGTCACTGACTGACCTGAGAAGGTAAAACTGTGTATCATTGGATTCGTCTCTTCCCAAAAAAATCTTTTTAGTCTTTACCGCGAAGCTCTATCTCCAGCAGGAACGAAATGGCGCGGGGGTGGCAACCCCCCCCCCCCCCCCCATGTGCGTTCTAGGATGGGAAAGTGGCATGTGCGGGCGAGGGTTAAATTGCGTAGTTGAATTCACATGCTGAACGAACTTCATCATCGGAACTTGTAGATCGTATAACAAAATGTGACCCGGGTTGCAATGTACAGTACATTCTAGGTATGTCAAGGCGTTAGTGTGACTGGTTAGTCAATCTGGTTGTGAATTTATCGTTGGTGGGTCCAGTGAATAATTATCAGCTTGTTTACTTTGTGTCTCTTGTTCTGGTGTAATTGCCTGCATTATCTCTAAGTCATTCGTTCCATAGATATTTTATCTACATGAAGATGCCCATCCAATGTCGAAACACTTTATTTTCTGCCGTCTGACTGCTTTACACTCGTGATCGATGGTATCAGCATTCTCCTTGGTAGAAAACGAGTAAAATGAGATGTTCAAAGGTCATCGACCATCACTGTCGTCAAAATATTTCAGTAAAGTCGTACCCTATTTCGTTTTCGGAAACCTCCTTCGGGGAAATAAATCCAAAGTAAAGCTAAATTTGTCAGTTAAAAGTCGTGAAATCAAGCTCGCACGATGTTTCAGCTCACATTCCCTAACTTGAATTCCTCCAATGAAACGGCAGGATAATAAGCGTCAGGGCATCTCTATGTATATAAGACCTCTATGATCCGTTCTACATGAATGGAAAGATGTGTTCTGGAACAAACGTTGATATTATATCTCTTGATTCACAGGCATGCACATTGACCCAGCAGTGGTGCAAGAATGCGAATGGCAAGCTCTGCACTGATTCCTCCGTTTTTAGCATTAGTGTTTCGCGTAACTTTCCGTTAAACGGACGGGGCCGCCGCCGGCCCCGGCCGCCGCCGTGCGAGTCGGCCGCCGCGCCGCTACGGACGACTGGCACACGCCACAAGTGTGATGGATTTTCGGCCAACGCGGCGACACCGGCGTAGCGTTCAATTGGCCGCGCTGCCCTGACGCTCCGGTGACGGACAGGTGGACCGAGGGCGCCGCCCGCCCATCCCTCCGGACCAGGCCAGGCCGGCCGATCTGAGGGAGGTAGGGAGGAGCCGCGTGGCTGGCCGAATGGACGGCCGCGCCGGGCCATTGTCACTGATTGTTGGCCATTGTCACTGATTGTTCATTGCCGCACCGAGGTCCGGCGATGTCACCGGAATGCCGCCACTGGTTTGAGTTTCCGCGAAACCGGCTTGCCCAGAGATGTTTGTCACTGGCATTGCTATGTGCTATTTGTGATGTTCATATATACCATTCCCGTTACGGAGTACATATCTTGTTTTGAACGTTAAGTTCCGATATACGAACTGGCCGTCTGAAAAAGAGCCGCACGTGCACGATGCTTGTAGATATTCCTGACGACCACGAACCGACCACGAATCAGAACTGCGCCTCTCGTAATGGGAGTGCGAGTAGTTGTTGCGAGTTAGAGCTCCTTGGCGAGTGGCTGACTCTGAACTGACTGACTAAACACCGGTTAGCTGTTTCACCAGCAGTCCCAGTGGAGGGAAGTAGGCCCAGGCGAGCAGGGTGTCGCAGCGTAAGTCCGACGATGGCGGCGCAGTAGTCGAATGGCGTCCACATTTAGCCGACGAAGGCTGCGCTGAGCGCCATACCCGCCTCACCTTATCTCCGAGTCACGTGTTCATGACTGACACGGGCAACCATACGGCCCGTCGTTGCCCACGCGCACCCCAGACGGGGCCGCCAGTCGCGGCCCCGGACACGTCAGTCCCCAGATCTGCAGTGATGTCGCCCGGCTCTGACGATGGCGCACAGCCGCCGTGTCCGCGGTCTCCGTCGCCGCCGCGGTATGCGGCGCTGGGCGGCGACTCGTACATGTCGCGGTCTCGCCATTGGGGGCCGAACGATTCGCGGCTCCCGCCGACCCCGCCGGCGACGAGTTTCCTCCGGCGAGTCCTGCGCCGTCTGGCGTGGTCGACGCTGCCCGGGAGGTTCCTGGCTGGCAAGCTGCTGCTGTGTCTACCGACGCACAGAGGTCAGTAGCTCCGGTGCCGGCCCTGCAGTGCTCTGAGAGAGCGTCGAGACCGCCTAACCGATTCTGTCCCTAATTAAGGTCTTTGTAAATATGTGTTCATCGTGCATCGTTTGTGATGTGAGCCGCGTGATCAGCTGCTAACTGATAATTTTTACTGCGATTTTGCTGTGGTCGTTGCTGGCGAATTGTTTAGTAGTGTCGTGGCAAGCTGGTTGGGGACGCCCGTCTGGCTGTTCTGTTGACGGAACGCGCCGATCGACATGGCATGCAGCCATCCAGCGCCTCAAATCGGCGAATCTGTCCAGCGTGGTCTCAATGGAGTGCTGAGCGGTGCTAAAGGACATGGTTATTTTCATGCGTTCTGTTCACAGTTTTGTCGTGGCTGTGCTGTCCGCGGCCGTGCTCCACGGTTGCGACGTCTGCGGCCAAGCTGCCCGCTGCTGAGCTCCGCGGCCGAGCTGCCAGCGGCCGTGCTCTGCGGCCGTGCTCTGCGGTCGTGCTCTGCGGCCGTGCTTCCCGTGGCTGGGCCCTCCGTGGTCCCGTGATCGTGGCCGCGGCGAGGGTGCCGCGACCTGCGCGATGCCGTGCGCTGCAGTGATGGCGCCGCGCACTGTGCAGTGATTTTGCCGAGCGCTGCGTACGCGGTGGGTGCCGCGCGCCGCGCTGTTGAGCGTGCCGTATTCGGACGGTGGCTGCCGCGCGCAGCGTGGTGATTGCTGCGCTCTGCCATGAGTGCCGCTCACTGCCGTGGCCTGAGTGCCGCGCTCGGACGGAGTGCCACGCGCCGTTGTGTTGCGTCGCCTTCTGCCTTTTGATATGTGCTATCTCCGAATTTAATGTTGCTTGTTGCCGATGTTCGCTTCTTTTCGTTAAGAGGGTCGGGTATAGTCGGTCGATTTATTCGCACCGTTTGATTTCGTACCGGCTTCTCTTCTGTTTCTTATTGTTTTCTGCGATGTCACTTGTCCGATTTTATATCTGATTAATTCACGTCACTTAAGTATTTATTTTATATTGTCATAATAACTTACGGCGCTGTTCCTTTATTTTCTGTTTAGTTGCAGCCCTAGTACCTTAATTTCCGATGTCTCTTCGGTTTGTTGTCGCTCGCATGTTCAGAGAGTCCTGGTTGGCCGGCGCGAGCGGCGGTTGTGGAATACAAGCTCGTCTGTGAAGGTTGTGTGTCGGAGCCGGGTTGGCGAGGCGGGACCCGTCTACATTTCAAACACCATTGCATTTCTCTCATCAAGACGCGTCGAATGATGAATAATGTGACCTCAAACATAGGCGCGGGAACCGGGGAGGGGGCAGTAGGGGCAGCTTGCCCCCCCCCCCAACTCTGGGGCCGTGGGGCCGTGTATCTTATGGTCAGGGCGCGTGTTTGAATTTATTTTCGGGGGTTGGGTCACTTAACTTGACCTGGTGACCTGACCTTTGATGACCTGGAGCTAAAATTTTCAAAGCCTGTACGGAAAAGACGTATAATAAGCTGTACCAAACCGTTTTTGAGATGTCAGCGAAAACCTGGGGGGGGGGGGGGGCGTGAAAACGCCGAGCGGGTTAATGAACCAGTAAGACGCCTTTCGGGGCGATACGCGAGCGAGCAAAAGGATGAGCCCTGCAAGTGCGAAACTGAGTGGGGGTATTTCCAACTGACTTTTGCACGGCACCCTGCCAACCGGTCGCTATCGGTGTATCAAATCTGAGCACAATCGGTCCAGCCGTTCCTGAGATCTGGAAGCGGCACCCTCCACGTGCGCACGTGTAGTACACTTCAACGTTGGTCGTTGACGCATTGAAATACATTGCCAAGTTGCTCATAGGTACTCAGAATTTTCCGCCATTCTACGAAAGCTTGCTTCGCTCGCTCCGCTGGCTCGCTTGTAATAAAGCACGTAAAAAATATGTCAACTTAAAGTGCAATTTAAAAACAAAAATGTACGTCCACCTATGCACTACATTTCAAAGCAAAAAAAAAATGTCCACTTATACCGTTATCTCAAGACAAAAAAAAATATGTCCACCTAAAAGTACAGTCCACCGAAACGCTTTTTTGCACCCAAATTCGACCGGCTACCACATCAAAACTAACCGGCATAGGACAGCGGCCAGTTGATATTTTCTTGCTACCTACCTGACGTGTGCTGCCATCTAAAAGTCATCCTCCCAGCATGCGTAGTTTTCAAGTCCACCGAAAGACGAAATACGCTAAAGTCCACCCATCCCGGAATTTGGAATATGTGTGCGTTCCCTACGACACCTACAATATCGGATGCGACATCTGCTTATGCCAAGAGGATGGTGTGCCGGCCTGTACGCAGCGGAACTGCAGTCTGCCAAGTGAGTAATTTCGCCACTCATTTACGATAGGGAAAAGATAAGTCAGTTTTGTTTTATAATGTAAAACACATATTAGACATTTGAGCTCTCGACTACCACAGTTAGCTCTGATCAAATTGACCTGCCCGCTGACTGCTGCGATTTCCTCCAGAGTACGGCGACGTGCAGGTGTGTGACAGCCAGCTGCGGGGCTGTCCGGCCGACTGCGGCACGGCCGGCTCCGACAGCTACTGCCAGTACTGCCAGTGCGGGCCGCGCCTAGAGGAGGGCGACATCACTGTGGCCATTGACGAGCCGTGTCCGCCCGGCTTCACCACCAAAGAGCACCAGTTCGCCACCAAAACTTGCTCTCCAGGTACTGACCTCTGCGCGCTCTCCTGACGCTTGGTAGTTTAGTTTCCTGAGATTGGATGGAGGGTTAGTCTGATGTCTACATCACGTTCAGGTTTGATCTTTGCTGGCTTCAACCGTTAACCGTCAAAGTTGCACTGCATGCTAGTTCACGTGATTACACGTATTATCCTTATTCGGTGATGTTTCCCACACTCCCCAGTCCCGGACGGTGGCCGCGAGGGCCGCCAGTACTGTTCTGGTCCGTGTCCAGCCGACTGCGGCGAGGTGTTGGACGCCGCCTCCGGCTGTTACCGCTGCCAGTGCGGGCCGCAGCTGCAGTTCGGTGACGTCCAGGTGGCCATCGACGCCCCCTGTCCGCCCGGACTGGCCGAGGGACCGAGCCAGTTCGCCACCAAAGTCTGCCTCGGACAGGGTGAGTGGGGGCGGCTGGGCACAGAGACATACTCAAGGTACTTACATATATGTATGTCATGTCATTAGTTACGACTTTTTCTACTGATGGATGCTTAGGTCTCACCAATTATGCATTTTGAAACTCATTCAAAAACAAATACATCCAATATTGGGTGTGGAGTTGGGTTGGAGTGCCTTTCAAGGCGAAGTTTTCGGTGTATTGCTAGGGGAAATTGAGTGTTTTTTTTACGATTTGCTAGCGACAGCCACGTATGTACTTTTTAGGGAAAACGCTTTGCAAATGTATCTTCATTTTCCCTTTCTCCTTTTCTGTTTATTCGCCTCTGTATTTACAATTCCATGCATCCAATTCCTATCATTCATGCACATTGCTTGCTTTGGCTGTTGCGCTGTCATCAAAACATCATCATCTACTGTGTTTGTGTCCTGTCTGCCGTCACCTTCACTCGTCACTCTGTGTTCAATGTTCCTCCGCCATTTCTGTCGCCAGGCTGCCAGCCGGGCTCGGAGTGGAGTGTGCACCACGACGGCTGTAGCCGGTGTGTGTGCACGGACAGTGGAGAGCCGGCTTGCACGCCGTGCAAACGGGAACCTTCCAGTGAGTGGCCGGATATACAGCGGCAGTTTCTTGTGAAGATTGTTTGTTGCCAGTACTCCGAAGCATGGAGCAGACAACATCAGGAATTAGTAGCATAACGAGGTCCTAGCTCTGTATCTACTCGTATGTCTACACCTAAAAATGAAACACATAATGTTAATACCTTAGTAATGTCGCAAGACCATTTACATGCCGGCATAACAATTATAAGTTTTGTTTTTGTCTAATGAATGCCTTCATGGTATTTGATGTTTTTAACCGATAATTTTTCTGTTCATTTTGTTGAAAAGACTCGACAAATATTGCTGCATCCTATCACAGCCGGAAACTCCAAAGGAACGTCCAATACCGGAGTGATGTTTGGGACCATTACATTGGAATAGCATGCCTGTTACTTTCACACTCGGCAATCTTCTTATCAAATTAATAATTATGCTTCTTAGGGTGACAGGAAGCCTTGCTTTTACAAACAGAACAATGACAAAATGAATACGTTTGCTTATTCAAATGCATCTATCTAGCTCACTTTGCAATAACATCACCCCTACCCTATCAACTTGCAGCATTTACGCCAACCTGTGACGGATCAGGCCAGATCGGGTGTCCCCAAGACTGCGGAAAGACTTACAACGCCGGCAGGGACTGCTTCGAGTGCAAGTGCGGCGTGGGGGAGCCGGGAGACACCCACGTTGGGTTCGAGGAGCCCTGTCCTCCCGGTACCGACTTCAGGGAGTCGGGCGCCTTCTTCAAGGCCTGTGGACCCATCGACACACTGCGTGAGTCAATGCAATATCGTTTTTATTGCTTGGACCAAAACGACGGGTGCCATCTTCTTCCTTTCCCCTAGTTTTTTTTTTCTTAATCAACCAGCATACTGTTCATTGTTCAGCCATGCTGTCCCACAATGTTTCCACGAAATACAAAACGGAGACGAAAAAAAATGTTTTTTTTATAGTTTTTTTAAATGTTTCCACGAATAAGACAGAAAGAAGCTCATACGTGCCGCTGTTTTGAAACAATGCATATACTTTTATGCTATAAGTTTAACTTCGATGACGTGTGTTCCTCCATGCAGCGAAGGGCGACACGAAGATCTGCGACAGCCTCGAGTGTCCGGCCGACTGCGGCACGGTGCGCGTCTCCACCCAGGAGAACTGCGCCTACTGCCAGTGCGGCCCCGTGCTGGCGCCGGGGGACACGGCGGTGCCTATTTACCAGCAGTGTCCCCCGTACACGCTGCCCGGTCCCACCCAGCTGACCACCAAGGTTTGCCGGGCCCCCACCAGGGAAGGTGAGCTCGTGAAACAACAGATTGATGTCGAACATTCAGTGTAGTGCACGTTTTGTGCCCAAACGTTGCATGCCTCCACAGGTGCGCATTGATGTTTGTCAGACTTACTGCCTACATATGTCCTGTGCGTTTTGCTTAACAAGAATAAGAGAATTAGATTTGAAATCTGATCTATTCATGCCTTTACCATTACACGTCAGAGAATAAATGCGCTGGATAGTTTTTAATCGGACCTTTTTCTTCATTTGTATCAAAGAACGATAGAATATCACTGGTTTTGTGTTTCTTGCCGTTTCAGAGTGCATCCCCGGATCAGAGTATAACGTGGGCTGCGATCTATGCATATGCCAGGAGGACGGTATCCCGGCCTGTACCATGCGAGAGTGCAGCCAGTCAGGTGAGAACAATATGAACCGTACAAGGATTACTGATTACTATACTTACTGAATTCTTTTCATGCATAAATAGTTTGTCTAGGGACTGCTAGTAGGTACTCAGTCAAGTCCTACTGCGCATTGGCCTAGACCGACATTCATTTTGCTTTCGTGATTTAATTATGAATTATCCGTGAATAATGGTAAAGGTGTAAAGTGCAATTCCACTCACGACATATGCCTAATGCGTGAGTCGGGCATACCCTTGAATCACAAGTGAGCAGCGTAGGTGCAGCCCTCGTCTTGCCCTACCGGAATTAGAGTCTTGCCCTCCAGGAATTCGAAAACTGTGTCAGCCGTCAGGTCATCAGTTACCTACAATTGCCTACCGTTGTCATCACTATAGCCTTCTCACTGCATTCTTTTCAGGGTCGCCTGAGGACGGTGATTCCTCACAGGGAGGCGAGAATTCGTCCTCCGAGGAAGATGAGGACGGTGAGGGACAAGGCTACGGCAAGGATGAGTCCTCAAGCGATGAGAACAGCTCCGAGGAGGGCTATTAGACCGTGGAAGGCAAATCAGCAATGCCTACGGTTACAGCAATGAAGATTGAAGATGATTCTCGGCCGATGTCGCGGTTTGAGCGTTGGAACGGTGTGGCACTGTCAGAAAAGCTGGTGTGACATGTCGGGTTTGTCGGTGTGATCTGTCAGGTCGGCTGATTTTACTTGTCATATCACCTTTCACCTGGTTTGACCTGTCAGGTCAGCTGGTTTGACCTGACGAGTCATACGGTGAGCCTTTCAGGTCATAGCTTACTCCCCATCTACTCGGCTCAGCACTACTGCCTCAGCGCTCTGTTGCGCATCTTCAAACCTGAACATCTTTACGTTGCATAAATCAACATGAACCATCCGTAACATTTTGCAATTGTCGTGTAATGTGACGATCACAATGTGATATGATGAATGATGTCATTGAATAACCATATTGCACTATGAAGTCACAATGCACACTTTGATGCTTGCCTCAATTTTGTCATTGCAGTCTGTTCTTATCTCAATAAACAAAGCTGGATCAGCACATCGAAGCGTTATCAGTGGCTGTTATTGAAACATCCGACAGCATACCAAAGCATGTAACTGCAAGGCTATGCATAAAATACATAAATGTCGTGTCTGCTTTCAGGCTTGGTTTCCTTCCATAGTACCTACTGCCCAGGTTTGCTTTCAAGCTTTGTTTCGCTTACATAGTTATGTCCAACTTTGCTTTCAAGTCTTGCTTTCTTACATAGTCCTAGAACTTTGAAGTCAGCCATCTCCTTCAAACTTTGTAATTATGACCTTTTTGAACCATGCTCGTTTTTTACATTTTTGCCGTCTAACGTTTTTCAGCTGCCGTCAGTGTTTTGCCGTTACGTCTCCCTGTTATTTTATACTGGGATAGGGACCGAAATATGATTAATATATTATGGAACATGTGGTCACCTACATAGGTGCTGCGGTGACCGTAATTACGAGAAATGCGGTCACCAAGCGATTGTGGCAGCGCCGTCGCCGCACCGCTCAAACTCCCTGACCTGCAGTTGGTCCCTCCTGAGGATCTCCACCTGTCATACCTCGCTGCAAACGCACGGCGTGAATTGGTTTCCGATACGGTGCTGTGTAGTTCGGTCCTTTGTCACCAGGCGGCGCTCAGGTCTGGGCGGCCCTCTGGCGGCGGGGGCGGCGGGCGGCGGGGGCGGCGGGCGGCGGACGGGCAGTCCCCGACCAGCCACCGGGCTCGACAATCAATGCGTGCCGCCCGCGTGCGTGCTGCCCAGGTGTGCACGGGCCAGCGGGGGACACGGCACCGCTGAGTGGGGGCCAGCCGAGGGCGAGAACACCTCGGTCCCGGCCGCCGCGGCGATGCACTACCGGCCGTACTCACTGGGTCGCAGCTCGTCCCGGGTGCTGGAGCCCACGTCCAGCAGCCAGCAGCTGGTGCCCAGCAGCAGCGGCGGCACCAGCAGGGAGGAGTCGCCCGACCAGCAGCCGCCGGCGCCCTGGGCCGCCGCCGGCAGCCCGCAGGCCGGCGCCGACGGCAAGCCGCCCATCTCGGTCGCGCAGCTGATCCGCGAGGAGCGGCTTCGCAAGGCGCTCCAGAGCCGGCGCTCCTTCAAACAGCGGCTGTGCACGCTCATCAATCTCACGGCCGCGATGCTGATCATCGGCGGCGGCGCGGCTCTGCTCTTCCTGGTGCCGATCGTCGTGGACCCGGCCGTGGCCACCATCCAGGCTGACTTTCCCGCGCGGCCGACCGCCTGCCGCACCGAACGCGTGCGACGCTACCGCACCCACTCCAACTGCTCGTGGAGCTCGTGTCGCGAGGGCTGCACCAGCGACCTGTACTACTGCGTGCACGTGTATGTGAGCCATACGCCGACCGAGGGCGCGCCCCCGGCAGAGGCGATCCTGGTCGTCAACGTAAAGACATGCGGCTACCCACCGCGGGTCAACTGTTCCGCCTTCGAGGACGAATATGCCAGGGAGGGTGCTGTGTTTCAGTGTTTTGTCAGCGGCGCTAACGCCAGTATCGCGGTGGCCGAGTTTCAGCCCGGCCAGGCCGGTGAGGAGGTGCTGCACGCGCTGGGTATCCCGCTGGGCGCCATCTGCCTGGGCACGGTGACTGTATGTGTGCTCCAGCTGCGGCCTGCCCGCTGCCGGCGCCGACCCGCACCGCCGCGACGGCCGTCTGGCGAGCTCAAACGGTCACAACAGTAAGTAGACGGACGCAATTGTTGAGCAGCCATGTATCTCTGATCCATGAGATCCTTATCCCACATGCCATTTATGCTCCGTATCTAGTCGCGACTGTCCGCCTCCTTTCTCCGCTATCTGAGTTGAAAGGCCACATCAGTCACGTGCAACATAAGACGGGGGTGATAACTCTGCAGTCAGATTTACCACTCACTTGTGATAAGTTAGGTATGTACCTACTTCTAAAAGCGACCACTAAACATTTCCGAACAAGACCGATGGCAATCCCGGACAAGTCGCCACCTATCTGTTCGTAGTATATTATTTTTAACATTCCCCGGTGTTGCGTGACCTCGCCATTTTAAGTCAATGGGGAAAAATGAAAACTGTTATTCTGGCGCCGGGAACGATCTCCAACTATCTCAAGCACACCGAATCGTGATTTGATGCACTCCTTGCAAGGTTATATGCGTCACTTTTGCAATGTAGACCTTGTGTGACGTCATTTATGACGTCATCAAGGTCATATTAGTTTTTCGTCAATAACTCTTGAACAAATTGAGCTAGCGAGTCGTGACAGCCACCAATGGACTCAGGAAGACCTGCCAAATCGAATGATATGCGATATGACCTTTTTCGACCAACTTCGTGACCTGGGGTGCCGACCTGACCTTGACCTGAGGTCAACACCCTAAGTTGACCTGACCCGAACAAGAAGTATATCATTCGACGCGCCTGAGCGAGACGAGCACGATGCTGCCAAAATCGCGGCTCTTCGGCCGTTTTTTGCGAAGTTATTCACCAAAAACTGAACCGTACCTTGGGGCACTTGACCTGACCTCAAAGGTCACTGTTTGACCTAGGACCTTAAAATCGGGTACCAATCTCTGCGTCTCGTAACGGCGCACACGCTCGCTTTTTCCGCGACGCGCTAGCTCCACCAGGGGCGAAACAGCGAGGGGGCGTCGTACCCCCCCCCCCCCTTCCTCGGCCGGAGCGTATGTAGAAAACCAATAGGTCCGGCGAGGGTTAATTACTATATAGTTATTGGCTTATCCCTCGTCGGACCTATTGGTTTTCTATATACATACGCGCAGGACGAGGGGGGGGGGGCTGGTACGACACTCCCTCACCGTTTCGCCCCAAAATTAGCTCAAGTCTCGCTAAAAACAACGAGCGTGTGCGCCGTTACGAGACATAGCGATTGGGACAAGGTCTTAAGTCAGCCGGTGGCCTCTGAGGTCAGGTAAAGTGCCCCAAGGCACGGGTTCAGTTTTGGTAAATAACTTCACCAAAAATGGTCGCGGGGACGAGAAATTTGCACCATTGAATTTGTATTGCTCAGGCGCGTCGAATGGTACTTATACTATTTGTTCGGGTGAGGTCACCATAAGGTGTTGACCTCGGGTCAAGGTCAGGTCAGAGCCACCCAGGTCACAAAGCTGGTCGAATGAGGTTATGTCGCATATCATTCACTTTGCAGGTCTTCCCGAGGCCATTGCTGGCTTTTCCTACTCGCCGGCTCAATTTGATCGCGAGTTATTTACCAAAACTCCTATGACCATAGTGACGCAATAAATGACGTCACATAAGGTCAACGATGAAAAAATGAAGCATGGGGCCTTGCAAGGATTATATGAAATTGCAATTCCATATACTTGAGCTAGGTTTAGATAATTCTGGGTGCCAAACTAACGGTTTCTAAATTTCCCCACAATGCACGGTAGGCGATCGGGCCGGTCTAGCCTCGCGAAACCTCAAAGACACTTTTTTCCGAAAATTGGAAAACAACGCATACTAGTCGACAGAAAATTCATCAAAGATTATGATTATGCATTTGCATGGCTCAGGAGACATTTTTTCGTTGACAAAAGTATCGTTCAAGACAGCGTTTCGTAACACTTCATAAGGGGGATAATCACAGCCGATTTTTACGCTCTTTGAATATTTTGCGGAACGATGAAATTGCTAGGTGTTGAGCATCCATTTTGCATGGAAAGTGAGATTCAGATATTTAGACGATTCCGCCATAGAAAGCAAGTAGACAAAATCAGTTCAAAATGTCCTATAATTACTAGGTTAACTTTTTATATTTTTTCTACCACTGAACATTACGCTCACTGAATTAACCAAACCCAGCAAAAAAAGTTTTACGAGGATGAACTGAATGTAATGCTGTATCGCATGCACTAAGACTTTATCTATTAGGGGAGCCAGTGAAATTTTGCAGCCACTTGCAGCCCTGGCATCCAAACACTTTTTTATTCTAAGGGTTGGCCGTGGCTTGGTGCACTTGAGCACAAGTGGTAAATGCCCCAAAGGGTGTTTTCACGATAGCTCAAAACGCCCAGGCAATAGAGAGCTGCAACTTGGCATACCTGACCTTTGATGCACGCTGGATCTTGTATCACCAACCGCTTTTTCAAGTCAGGTCAGGTCACTGACCTATGACGTCATGAATGAACCTCTGCACGATCCTCAGATGTCGCAAACTTGCAACGCTCTCAGTGCCAGAGTAACTTTCACAGGGAGGTGAGACTTGCAGAACTTATTGTCCTTTAGAGGTCTTACAACTTAAATATTTCATATTTTTTCCTAAATGTCACATGAAGTCAGGTTGGTCACGTGACCTCACCTATAAGTCAATGGGGAATATGGAAACTGCTATTTTGGCGCCAGGAATGATATTCAATTGTCTCAAGTACACGGAATCGTTACTTCATGCACTCCTTGCAAGATCTGATGCTGCATTTTTGTATTGTTGGCCTTGCATGACGTCATTTATGACGTCACTAGGGTCATACGAGTTTTTCTTCAATAACTCCCGATCAAATTGAGCTAGAGAGTCGACAAGGTCACCAATGGACTCCGGAAGACCTGCCGAATCGAATGATATGCGACATGACCTCCTTCGACCAACTTCGTGATTTGATGACCTCTGACCTGACCTTCACTCGAGGTCAACACCTTACGGTGGCCTCATCTAAACAAAAAGTATACCATTCGACGCGCCTGAGCAAGGCGAACACGACGATGTCAAAATCGTGGTTCTGCGGCCATTTTTTACGAAGTTATTTACCAAAAACCAAACCCGCTGCTTGGGTCACGTTATGAAATGGGGCCCTGCCGGGCGAGATTTACGCTGTTTCATGATATGTATAAATTGGTAGGGCATATCGTTTGAATAAAAAGTTGGTTTCGAAGCAATTTTCTACGGAGGTACACACCATTTCAATGTCCCATATAGTCATAAATTTCGACCTACCCTCAAAAGTATTCATGCGTTATTCGAGCGGCAATTAGGCAAACTGCAAGCTCGCCACAGAGCACAAATCCTAATAGAGATAGTCCTTATTTAAAACATATGCTCATTGGATATTCAAGAAGGTTGCTCCTAAATATTGTGGTTCTAGCTTCAAAAACATGGATGTTAAGAATGCCGATAGGTTTCGCGAGGCTACACCGGCCGGATCGCCCACTGTGCAATGGTGAGGTCACGTCAACGACCTGACCTCATGTGACCTTTACGAAAATCCGAAATATACATGCCGTAAGACCTCTGGAAGCTATTAGGTCCTGTAAGTTTAATCTCCCTGTAAAAGCTCCTCTGGCACTGAGGGCGCTGCGAATTTGCGACATTTTAGAACCGTTTAGATGTTCACTTATGGCACCATAGGTCAGTGATCTGACCTGACCTGAAAATGCAGTTGATATCACAAGATCTGACTTGAATCAAAGGCAAGATTTGCCGCAAATGTCAGCTCTGTATGGCCAGCGTCTTCTGAGCTACCTTGCAAAAAACAAACTTATGGAAAGCGGCACCCGCCCCCTCCCCCGCCCTCGGCCTTCTAGGATTGTTTGTGACTTCCGACCCAGCGGGCAACAGTTTGTTTGGGCCGATCTGTCGAATCCCCGGGCGAGTGAAGTGTCCACATATACCTATAGCACCGGTCCCGGACCGCGCTCCTAGTGCACGACGCCGCGTCGTGTTTCAGCGTTGCCATGGAGACGCACACCCAAACAGTCGTGTTCGCGATAAGGACTGTCAAATGGAATGGATTGCCGATATCTCAAGTCAATAGCGCACAAACACTGAGGTGTCATCTCGGCCGCGATATTAACTGTAAACGAATGCAGGAAGCGATGGTGAAAAACATGCCATTTTGTGCATCCACAAAATTACAGGAACGGTCGCGTGCTGGCATGTCCCGAACGATCTGAGGAATTATTGACAAGCATGATATAATGATTGGACAGTGCGCTTTTTGCGGATGTGCAAGCAAGGCGCATACCATACAAAGGTGTCTTGGCGTTTTGCGAGCACAGAAGACACTTACAAGTATTGTATTGAAGGTCTCTTCGTATTTATCAAAGTGAAGGCGTGCATCGACATGGACAATATCTCAATCTCCATTCTTTCCAAATTTTGACATAGGCAGCCTCATTCAGGCTTTCTCTTTTACTTGAGGACGTCCCAAAGTCGCCTGAGGCCAGATTGAGGCTGACTGCAAGGAAGAAGTACAGCTTTGCTCAATGCTCACCGTGTCGCTCAGATAGTTTGTCACTGAAGGATTGGCCAGGTGCTCTGCTCTGGTGATTGATGAAGGTGCCACTGAGCAGATCTGAATGATAACAATGGTAGAGGGTCTTCGCGGCTGGAGTGGGCTTGAGCATATCCATTTAACTTTCTTATAAAAGAGCGTTGAAATGCATCCTATTGCGTACAGCCGATGTTTTGCGGGTTTTCCAAAAAAAGCATAATAGAAAACGTAGGCTGTTGTGGAAAACGTGTCGTCAACATGACATGAGTTACTCTAAAACAAAACTTGATAAAGTTGCACCTTGCGCTTCAAACACGCGAAGTGGGTCAGGTTCATCTGCCGTGCTGTGACCGCTGGTCTCGATCGACTGGACCGTATGGATTTGACATTGCGGTGAGCCGGCCAAATTAACCGGCGCTATTGATTCGGAACTGAACAGTTCCAGTCGTATGCAGTCTGTCGCACGGCGTTTCCACCTTGGTGGTTCTTTCTGGCCCAAACAGGAGAATAGCGTGTATCTCAGCGATGTCAGCCCGACTAGCCAGCTTGCCGCGAGGGACGCTGGGCACGACCCTCTCCGACCGGGATGGAAGGGGCGATACGGGGTCTGAACGGCGACCCGCTCCAAACTACCCGGATTTGGCCTGTGGCCAGAACACGAAGCTCGAGCTGCGCTGCCGGTGGCACGGCGGAAGGATGAGATTGGTTGGGCTGGAGGCCAAAGGTCTGAACCGGTACTAGATAAGGACGTATAATTTTCCCGTTCCATCATTATGCCGCGATAGAAAGACACTTCGGAGTCGTTGCAGCGAAAAGCCGAGTCGGATCGGACATCGCTGGCAAATCTGGGGTCATCATCTCTGCCAAGTCCGGCTCGGCGTGCGATGCTGCCCTAGTAACCCGGAAGCTGCGCCAGCCCCCCCCCCCTTCCCCCCCCCCCTGCTGGACCACGCCCTGGGACGGGGGGGACGCCCGGTGCCAGCCGTTGCGTGCGCGGCCGGCCGGGATGACGGCTGCGATTGGATGTCGGTGCCGTGCCGGCACTCTGTTGGCCAGCTGCGACCCTCTCCGCCCCACACCATCCCTTCCCCAGAGGCCACAAACGCACGGCTGTCGGCAGTTAATCAGTCAAATGGTGCATCCATAGAACTGGACACCAGCACCTGGGTCGGTCCCAAGGCTATATGGTCAGCCCACCAGCCGCCACGGTCTCCTAAATTCATCTGTCCAACGGCACACGATTCGCTGAGTGAAGCGGATCCAATTGTATTGATGTGATATGATGATTGATACATTTCTCTGCTGTTGGTGTGGTTGATCGCTGTTTGAAGTTGCGATTAACCACAGTTGGAAATGAATAGATTCAGTTGGAAATAAATATATTCCATCCTAAGTATACTGGATATAATCATTTCCCAGCCGAATGGGGGACGATGTCGAGTTTCGCTCACACACGAGTTACTCATGGGCTGACTCAGGCGAGGTGAAGCAGCATTTGTATTTCCCAGCATCCACTTACAAACCTTCTGAAATGTGTGTGGAATTTACATGCACGTTTATTATTCCAATTCCATTGATGATTAAAAGTGCCGTTGTATTTGTTGTGATAGACTTCGCAATTCTGTTGGGCATCCGTTTGTGACAGGCCACGGTAGCGGAGCTCGGCATTAGGGGCAGTTTATAAGTCGTTCGAGACGTCCGATGGACTAACTTTGGCAATGTGACGTGTTTTCACATCACTCATTTATCCAGTGCTGCCTGTTGATGCTTCCGGTCAGGCGTGTAGTAGCGGGCATAGGTTGACGAAACTGTATGGTGAACACGATGTGATCTTCAGTGTTGCTTTCAAGTTCATATCCTTTCATGGGGTCTTTCAAATAACCTCTTTGTGATACTCATGTGTACTCCATGCAACCACAATATGACCCGACCAACATGTGACCTCTGGGCTCTGACTGACCTCGATTCTACCTCCGCGTGACCTCTGTGTGACCTCAATATGACCTCTGGGTGACCTCCATGCGACCTAACTGTGACCCCTGTGTTACCGCAATATGACCTCTGTGTGACTCCTATTCTACCCCAGTGTGACCTCTGTGTGACCTCCATGCTATCCCAGTGTGACCTCTATGTATATGACCCCTGTCCTGTCCGGCCGCAGGGTCTGGAGCACGGGCGTGTCGCCCAGTCGGACGGCTCCCACCCTCTCCACTGTAATGGAGGAGCGCGGAGGGTCGGCCGTCTCCTCCCAGCCCGCCGAGCTGCAGCTCATGGAGATGAAGCCGCTAACGTCCTCCGAGTCGCGACTCTCACCTCCACCGGATCCCTGACAGGAGGCCGGCGGTCCGGCCGTGGGATCTAGGGATCCCGCGGAGGGCCGCCGGGACTCGGAGGAGCGCCGGAGGGAATCGGAGGAGCGACGGGGGGACGCGGAGCAGCGCCACCGAGACTCCCTCTCAGGACTCCTGTCGCCGATAGTGCTGCTCCGACCGCGCGGTGGATCACCGGCCGGTCGCAACAACAGACGCTGCTCGGCGTTCAGTTTGGCCACAGATGAGACAGATCAGGACCGGGACAGTCACAGTATTGAGAGCCGGATACGGGCCATCATCAATCAGGTGGAGGGCACGGACTCTACTTCTCCTCCGGCTCGGCCGCCAGCGCCGCCGCCGCCGCAGCGCGATGGCTCAGTGGCCACGATTGAGGGGGTGCGTCTGAGGAGCTCTGACTGGTCGGGTGAGCAGACTACCCTGAGGCCAGGTCGGGAGAAACTGTCTAAAGTGAGACAGAGTGTTGGACAGAGTGTTGGACAGAGTGGTGGACAGAGTGATAAGACTGGGCGGGCTACTGAACCGAGTGGAGAGGTCACTGCTTCTGATGTCGACATACTGAAAATGGACGTTTGGTGAGAGGTGTAATGTGAGGTGGGATGTTGTGAAAGGAGTGGTGAGATGTAAGCGTTTGAGAAATGTGAGAAATGTTAACCCGCGCCCTGGTGGGGTCTGTTTATAACGCGACCTGATGGGGGGGGGGGGCTATTTTTTGCCCCCCTCGTATCTCCGAAAATACTGGGCGGATCCGCAAAATTCAAACGGCGTTCGAAAGGCCTGTCAAATTTGTCGTAAGAAACCAAATTTCATTGACCTCAGGGCCACCGATGACGTCACAGGTCAGGTCAAAGATGAAATATTTCACCGTTCACGGGTCTTCTAGGGAATGCGCTATAACACCGAGGAAAACGCATTTTGTCGAGAATCAGCGATAGGGCGTCAGTTGCCTAGTAGATATGTTACTATTAGAGGTCACTGACAATACCAGGTCAGGTCACAGGTCAGGTCACCAAGGGTCACAGGTCAGGTCACATGAGCCCAACTTAGCTAAGGTTGTGTGATGCATGTTTTATGGCCAATTTTTCATTTCCAACTCGATGGCGTTGGTTATAAGACTATCAGGTACGGCTTAGGTCACTTTCTGGTGAAGTTCAGGTTAAGGTCAGGTCAAGGTCAGGCCAAAAAAGGTCAAATTTTAAAGTTGATAGTTTTGCATAAAATGGGTATTGATTCGATGCAGCTCGTCACGGGGAGTCTAATGGTGGTCTTTGTTTTGCGCTACGGGGTCTAGAATTGCTAAAAATTGAGTTTGAAAATTTGACGTCATCAATTTTGAACAGTTTTTTTCGCTATAACTTCGCCAAAAAAGAGGTATCAATCTCAAATTTGGTATATAGATGGATGGCGGTAAGGACTATCACATGTATTCTGGTTTTTGCGAATATCAAAAAACTTTTTGGATTTTTCGATAATTATATCAAAAAAAATATTTTTTGATTTTTAGGGGTCAAAATCCAAAAATTTCAAAAATCCGAGATAACAGTTTTGTAGCCCTATTTATTCTACATCTTTTATGTCTTAATCATTTTTCTGTATTTGCAAAGCTATAGGCCTGACAGCTCTTCCCGCGAAACCCTTTTTTGGGTCGAAAACGGCAGAACATGACGTCACTCTGACGTCATTTCCGGCCAACCTATCATAGCCTTTGGAAAAATTATTGGTCACAATGTGTAAAATTGATGTCCGGGAGGGTAGGTACTGAAAGTTTGGTGACGATCGGCGGAGTGGTTCTGGAGATATATCGAAAAGTCTGGAGGGGGGCAAAAAATAGCCCCCCCCCACCAGGTCGCGGGTTAATGGGATGCTTGGCTCGAGGAGATGTGGCCGTCGGTGAGGACCGTACATCAGACGAGATATGATGAGATGATGTCGGAAATTTGATGTCTTGGCCGGGAGAAGTGATAAAAAGTGTCTTGTTGAAGACCGATGATATGAAACTGACAGATGATTGACAACGTATAAAGACAGAGTTGGTTAGGAAGGACGTAGGACGGTTCAAGAAACATTCAATTCGACATGCATTTCACAGGTGACGTGACAGATGACTTGTAAACGTACTGGATGGTGCATCACTGTTTCAAGTGGGCACATCGGAATTCGGACATTGCAAGGACAGCTAAGTTTTGATGTTAAAATCAACACCAGACAAAAGGCAACATAAATAAGGCATTCATTGAACATTGTAAAGACACAGTACGTTAGGCAAAAGTTGCCTTTATGGTCGTTATTGAACAGATGACTGAGCAGTGAGCCCACAGACTGCACAGTGCACAAGGGACTGAACAGAGGACTGATATGACTGAGGACACTGTGATATGGTCTGGAGGACAGAGGACCGCGACCTCGCCGGTCCTCGGAAGGTGACCCTGTCACGCAATATGTGCCATTGGCTGGGTAAGGTGAGCATCCGATTTGTGTAGCGTAGCCTCAGGGATGCGGGTGTATTGTTGAGCAATAATGCCATGACTCACACCTCACTAATTTTGTACAGAGCAAACTGGGTATTGAGCCGGTTTGGACGACTGGTAAGTGTGAAACTGTTATGACTCTACTCCGTCATGCAATCAATTTCCTGTACTATGAACGTTCAAGAGCTTCAACGCACAATCTGCAGCGGTATGGTCATAAATTTGGTGTAAGTAGTATCGTCGTTTTCGACGACTGGGTCCGGTAAAGGTGCTGTCATGTGAAACAACCACCTCCTGATTTCTAGTCAGCCTCCACAATCCTCGCACGTAATCGTCGTCGTTTAGTGGAATTGGACAACTAAGGAGTGGACAGTGTTGTAGTGCATGTGATACCGCATTGGCTTGGCAGGTCGCTGAGCAAGAGCGCCTAAGAGGAGCCTTGGGAACGTTGGTTGTAGTGAAGTGCTATTGGCCGGCCAAAGGCACGCGATCGAACGAACTGGTGCCATGGTGACTTGTTACTTTGTTTCGCGTCGTTGAGTGAAAACGGTATTTGAACAGCGCTGGGGTATGTGGAGTTGGCCAACGTTCACAGCGCTGTCCCGCTTAATGTACGACCCCTCCGTTACACGAATGTAGCCCAAAGGCAACGCAGGACTATCATGATGGAAATGAATGCAATGTAAAGTGTATCTTGGAAATATACGAGTAGTTGATATGCAACGTGTTATAAAATAGCAGATTGATTGAAGAAACGAATGGCTGTATTTTCAAAATTCATTCGTCTTTCCCTTAATTCCTTTCAGTAAGGCAGGAATATCAGTGGATTGAAAATATTGCAGTGGCGGATCCAGGGGGGGGGGGCAAAATGGGCATTTGCCCCCCCCCCCAAACGGCATAATTTTAACATTACGCCTATGGACGATGCATGGAAAGAATCGATAAATTGTTATGGTTTGCCCCCCCCCCCCAAACCTCTGAGCTGGATCCGCCTCTGAAATATTGATAGAAAAAGGAAAAAGTATGAATGGATTGAAAACTTATAAATGGAATTCAAGCCTATGAATTATGGGATTAACTACGCAACGAAAACTCCTATAAGTTCTTTGCAACTCAAGTTGGTCGCGATGTTTTGCGATATATGTTCATTGTTCAAGTACCTATCTATGTATAAAAATAGTACTTTTGTGACCATATCTTATGAACTGTTTTTGCGTGATTCCAGTGTGTTTATAGGTAAACTACAGCCACAGGTAACTTTTGTGTGTCTAACTGCATCGCTGATGAGGAGCAGTGGATTATGACAGCACCCACGCTCGGCTAAAGCCGGCGGTAATGACGCGTCGCCGACTGTCGCTGCCCTGTCGCTGCCCTGTCGCTGATTGTCGCTGCCCTGTCGCGACTGTCGCCGACTGTCGCTGCCCTGTCGCTGACTGTCGCTGCCCCGTGCCAACTGTCGCCGAACAGGCACCATGCGTGTGGCGGGCCTGTCACTTATTGTCATCCAGACATGGCTACAACGCGTGAAAGTAGTGTGGGTTATTTATGATGTCATTGGAATAAATCGCCTGATTAGTACTGATCGAAGCTCACCACACGTCGCAAAAGGTTATGAATTTTGAATGCACGGTAAATGACAGTTGGAAGTTGTAATCTTACTACATTGGATCTTCAGGGGAGCATCAGTAAACAGCAAGACGACGTCTTTTGAAGGCGCTCTATCCTATACGATTTTGTTTTAGACCGACGGATTGACGCTGATAGACAGGCATACTGTTCAGTATGTGGTGTGTACAAAATCCACGGTGACCGCACTGTATCTAAATGGAGCTGTTATGTCGCCGTGATTTGCATAGCTTATCGTTTTCATATACCATTTGATTTTAAATTTTAAACAGACGTGGAGGTGGCAAAGTAAGCTTCACATAGACAAGTCATATATTTGTGACATGCGTGAACACAGACAAAGCACAATAACTTAGACTCGGCGCTGGCGGCAGCTGTGACAGAGACGTTCACTCGGTGCGTCCCTCAGCAGTTGTACGGTGCCGCTCCCCGACCACGAGCACCCAGCGACTAGGAGGACGCAGCCGCCCACCGGCGGGGTCAGGCTCGCTCGGGCCTCATCACCGCCTCTCCGCGTCCCGATCCTCTCACACACCATTGGTGTCGGACTAGATAGCGCTGGCCCGCGGCCAGTGGCCCCACCCTCCCGCTCCCCCTGCGCAGATGAGGACAATGAGTTATGTACAGAATGCCGGCGGATATTGCCAGACGCGACCTCGGCGGCCCGGCAGCAATCGGACAATGTGCCGCGCGGCGCGGGGACCCGGACCCTGTCGCCCCGACTAGACTACTCGACAAAGACGGCCGCCGGCGCTCAGGCACTTGACGGTCTCTCGGCCGCCGACCGACCGCTCCAGGCGACAGCGAGGTCAGGTGCTGAGACGTGAGTCACCGCGGTCCATCGTATCGACTCGACCACACTCGAGTCGGGCGCTCCCAGAACGAACGGCAAGAGTTTGGACCAGG